CCCCCCCCCCCCCACAGCAGTGTATTGACACCACCTCTTCTTTCAAAAAGCCTCTTGCTCTGAATTCCATTGGGAATCCTGAGTATGCAGTTAATATGCATGTTTATTTATAATCCTATCATTAAATTTTAATCTGTTTCACTGGCCTCAATATTTCAGTAATAATCACTTTGTGTTTGTGTTTATTAGAAAAATTGAAAAGGAAAGCTAAATGATCAGAATGAATGCAGAGTTGGAGGTTTTAGAATAAATCAATGATATATCCTTTTAACATGAAATTAAACTTTTAGCAAACATGACAGACTCTCTGGCCATTTGAAGTTTATTGTAAACTAGACAACAATTTCAATAATACATAATTTTAATTCATTCTATTTATTGATTAATTTGATGTTAGAAAAATATGATTAATAAAAATATAATTACCTATTCATTTCTATTCATAGTAATTCTGGCAGTGAAAAAGCAACGACTCGATCGGATTTCGAATCGATTCTGTGATAGAAACCAAGGCAACTGTCCAAGACAACTTGCGTTGTCACGAAAATACTTAAAATTTTATTCCACTCTCCGCTCAATACCTCGATGGGTAGAGCGGCGGTCTTGAAAGCCTAAAACGCGAGTTGTCAGGTCGAATTCTGCTTGAGACAACGCACTTTTCCTTATTTTCTGCCCTGACAGAATTAATGTGAACCAGTGGCGAGGCTAGCCTTAGCAACACGTCATGCTTACAAATGTTTAATGATTTGCATTACCGTATTTACTCGATTGAGCGTCGCCCCCGAATGATTGCCGCACTAAACAGTGTAATTAAAAACTTTCCGCGTCAAAATGGGGACATTTAGTGACAAAAACCTTTTAAAACTTGTTTATTTTATTGTTAAAAGTTCTTGTTATAATTCACAAATAAAAGATTTTTTTAATGAGCGCCGCATCTGAAGCTCTGAAAATTTAAAGAGCGTCGCGGCGTTCAAACGAGTAGATACGATATTCAAACCTTCAGTAATGTACTGTCTATTTAGATTCAGGTTAATTAGCATAGCATGCGACCAGTTGCCATGGCTAGCCTGCCACTGGTGGTGAAAACATTTTCATATCTATGTTTCTCTATTCACTGCACGATTTATGTTTTGTGTTGAGTGTTTTTGAACATTTGTTTGGTGTTTTTTCTATATCTGTATTTTCCTGTGAAATAATTTCTCGCTCAGGTTCAGGAATGTCCTCAATGAAAGCTAATACAAGATGGACAAATGCAAAAATCACAGACAACCCAAGAACCAGGACTATTGCTCTCGCCACCTCGATCATCACCTGGTAATGTCCTTCTGGTGCCCTTCCTGGTTGAGAAGAGACAAAATCATCGATTCAGGTATTGTTCATTGCTAAGATTTATAGTTTATTTAAATGCTAAAGATACCGTGTACACCACGTAAAAATCTCTCGACAAGATGTATTCGCAACAGGCTTGTAGCACGCTTGTCATTTTATAAGTTGCTACAAGGTTGTCACTCGCAACTTGTTGAATTACAGGACGGTAACAAATTTGTGGAACAACTTGTAACAAGTCTTATGCTTGTGATGTTACTCTGAGTACAAATCCACACCGGGCAAGCTTGAAAAATATGCCTGGCCACGGTGGGAATTGAACCTACGACCTTTGGAATACTAGCCCAATGCTAGAGTACCATCACAAGCATCATATTCACCTGAGTACATACACCAACACAAAAAAATTCTTGTAACAAGTCTGTTGGAGTCAACTACATTGTACCAAATTGTCAAGATGCATACGTCATCACATGACGTCATCACTCACCTTCATTCGGTACCAGGTCCCCAAATCCGATGGTTGTGAAAGTTACGAAACAAAAATACAATCCATCCAAGAATGTCCAAGGCTCGGTTAAATTATATAATATCCCTCCCAGGAGCAGCATTATCACCATCAAACATAACATAACCGTGACTGTCTTGCTATGTAACTTAGTCACTTCTTTGGCAAAATATCGCTGCTCAATACTTCGTAATGTTAGTTGGATTAAAGCGACTATTCGATCTCCGACCAGTTTTACAATCATGATGTTTAATGGGATACCAAATAGAGCGAAGATCATGCAAAATATTTTTCCTCCGGCCGTTTCTGGCGATAAATGGCCATAACCTGGAAAATTAGATTAGTTCAACCTAATGCACACATCCAACTTTCATCACAGAGGCATTAAAGGCTCGGCTAAACGCACCTGCACTCAGTATACAGTCACGGATCACATTGAAACATGTTTAACCATAATCAATATAGGATAAGGTTAGGGAACTCGATGCAAACATAATACACCTCATTATCTATGTTTTTGTCTGGTTTATGCAAGAAATGGTCTGTTCATCGTCAGGTGTGTATTGTATTTTCGCTAGGGCAACCAATAACTATGTTTTCATTTAACCATTGTGTAATATCACGACTGGGTAATGGACCTATTCCCTAATGAACAAACTTTTGATCTAGACAAAAATTTCATCACAGCTTGAAAGAGCATCACAAAATTAGTAATATTCCAAAGTTTCGTTGCGAAATGTTGTAAAATGCGGATAATATAGCCTTGCGAAGTTTGCCGTTTTTCAGTCATTTTGTATTACGCACGGGAAATTGACTTTTTTTCAGAAAGCGGTATACACTGGAATAAATCCGCCTAGTGGCAAATGGGCTTAAGGCTTACCTATCGTTGTAACAACACTGACAGCGAAATAAACAGATGAATAATAATCCCATCGTTCCCCGCATTCATTCAAACGATTACAACGTCTCTTAACAACATCCACAACTTCCCGAACCATGAAATCAAACTCGTCGCTTGTCAGATTATGAGACAACATTAAAACCTCGCGTACTTTCCCCAAATCTGTGAGGTGCTCGATGTCATTGACTGCCTCTAAAGCTTGGAATATAGCAGCTCCGCTTAGCAAATAAATTCCGTACATGACCAGAAGGAATATAAATTTCCTTGTTTCTAAACTGATATTTGTATCCATCAGCCATGATAGCACATTCGAGAGAGTAAGATGATGTTTTTTAAGTAAACTGGTTGACAATGTAGGCACCGAGTGAATTGTATTTGTGTTTTTGTACAGGTGGCGACACAACGTGGAGAAAGAGTCGTTTGAAAAATACTGGTGGTCAACACTTGCATGGTAGGCGCTGGACGTACGTTTATATTCAAGTGTGTTTTGTGAACTCCGTATTTATCTCCAGTGAGAACTCGGGTCCAAAAAGTGAAGCCAAATATCCCAGTCCCCCTTTCTATTCACATTTTTTATAATTACATAATTACGCTATTCATAGTAGTACATATGATTCTTTGTTTGCAGTCACGTGACTTTTCATCCAAATGACGGGCAATCAAACAAATAGCAGGTTTTTGTTGTACCTGCCCGTCGACTGAAATCCCAAAATTACGTGATTGCAAACAAAGAATACAACTAAATTTGCCTCTTACATCCCGATTTTGATTGGCTAGCTAAGATAAGATACCATTATTAATTGCGACATGCGTATAAATACTTGAAGCCCGGATCCGACGAGGATCCGAGGGTACACGAGAGTCACGCGATCTTGGTTAGGTGTTCTTAATGCTTTCCCAACACTAAAACATAGTTGAAACACTCATCAAAACTTTATTTTGTTAATCTAGAGCTTGAAATGTCCCTGTAACAATGCGTGACTACCAACACTCGTCAACTCTCATCCTCGTTTGAGCGGGTTTTTAAAACAATAGACCCTTCCAAGGTTAACGACGCCATAACGAAACACAATAGCGCGGTAAATTTGCAGGGGATGCAAACACAATAGTGAAAACAATAGATTCAAGATGGCGTCTTTAACTTTGGAAGGGCCTATTCTTTTCATTAGGCGCCATCTTGGTTGATTTTAAAGTTTTGTCCAGCCGTTTACATCGAAATAGTTGAGTTACTTTAATATTTTTGGTTTGTATTACTTACTGTATTATGGATAGTTTACGATTTCTAGCACAATACGACATGAAGAATATAGATTTTTATTTGCCACGAAAATCAACCAAGATGGCGTCGATTGCAAACAAGTAATTGGGCATCATAAATACCGCAAAGCTATCTGTGAATGCAAGCTTAAACCCAAATTTAAATTAACCGCCCAAACAATTTATTGCCCCTGGCAATAAATAATTCTACTCCTCTTTAGGTCGAGAATTATTGATTCTATAGCTATTGATCGTCTCCCCCGTCATTTCTCGAGCTCCGTTGACTTTCGTACTCTTTTCCTCTCGTTTCATGCCAAGTACAGCACTGATCCAGGGGGAGGCAAACCCCAGTAATATTATGATATGACCGTAGAAATACACGGACCTAAAATTGGTGAAAAACAGCATAGGTACTGACCGACCGAATGACTAACTGATCGAGCAACCCTGGCTAACTAGCCGTCCATCCGGCTGACTGATTGACTGACTGATCATCTGGCCAACCGACCCACTGAAAGACCCACTGACCAACCGACCCACTGATCAACTGACCAACTAAATGGTCGACTGGCCAACCCATTGAACTATAAATAAACTGGAATGCTAACTGCTATGATGAAGGCCTATGATTCGATGAAGCCAAAATAGTTTTTCTGAGTTATGAGCAGAAATACTTGACCCCAATCGTCGGGCTATATATCAAATTGAAGCTATTGAAAATGGCTATTCGGTGTGGAAATTTCAAGACTTCAGCGAAAAGAAAAATATTTAAAAAATACAAAAACAACTGCAAAACGGCAAATTATCGGTAATTATGTTTGTAGTTTTTCAATATTTCCCTTTTAGCTAAAGTCTTGAAATTTCTACACCAAATAGCGTTTTTCAATAGCTTCAATTTGATATATAGCCCAACGTTCAGTGTTGAGTATTTCTGCTCATAACTCAGAAAAACTAAAATGCACTGGCTTCAATTTCCCCCCCTGAGTTAGCCTTCCAGTTTATTTATAGTTCAATGGGCCAACCCAACTAACCAACCCACCAAGGCGAGGGGGGGGGGGGCAAAATACCCGGGGCCCGGAGTGCTCAGAAGGGCCCAGAAATCTCGGTAAAATGTTCGTATTCTTTATGATCGCTTTATGTTTGCCCTAAATGAAATACGCCCACTTCGTAAAACGTACCAGATTTGAAATAAACGATTTTTCGATCGTTTTCTCAGCAAAAACAGCTGAACATCGTTCACATGGCGTTTTTATCAGTTCTGCGGCGATTTCTTGCAAGTAATTCACTGGCAATTCTCTCGTTGATTGCGATTAAAAATAGCCAGCAGGAGAGTCGAGAGGGACAGGGGGCCCGGGTTCACCAATCGTCATTTTGTTCTGGGGCCCGTGGTTGGCTCTCGCCGGCCTTGCAACCCACTGATCAACCGACCCACTGGTCAACTGAATGACCGACTGACTAACTCAACTGACTAATGAACTGAGCAACCGACCCTGCGACCCACTGACTGACCGGCTGACTAACCAACTGACTAAGTTCTGTATCTATAGAAGATGTTACCTCCAAAAAATAAGGCCTGAATCCAATTGAAGCAAAACAAATGGCATACATATGTAAGACACCAAGCTATAAGTGGTCAACCATGTTAAAATATCATAAAATATTTTCTTTTCTTTGCTGTCTTGAAAATAGGCATGAAACGAACGCCTGGCCTAAACAAGGAAGAAAACAGCTCATGGATCATTGTGAAAGAATTACAAAATGGATCTATGAAACTGTTGTCCTGGCTAAAGCCTGCTTCACAGGTATGAAACAAATACCAATTGACCACTTGCGTAATAGACAAAATTTTGATCTAAACAAGTCTAGACAAAAATTTCGTCACAGCTTGAAAGAGCATCACAAAATTAGTAATATTCCAAAGTTTCGTTGCGAAATGTTGTAAAATGCGAATAATATAGCCTTGCGAAGTTTGCCGTTTTTCAGTCATTTTCTATATTACAAACGGGAAATTGACAGCCCCAAAGGGTATTGGGCAAAATGACTGAAAAACGGCAAACTTCGCAAGGCTATATTATCCGCATTTTACAACATTTCGCAACGAAACTTTGGAATATTACTAATTTTGTGATGCTCTTTCAAGCTGTGATGAAATTTTTGTCTAGACTTGTTTAGATCAAAATTTTGTCTATTACGCAAGTGGTCAATTAACAAATAGAATACATCTTCCGTGTTGATATACAGTTATATCAACACGAGTGGAAATAATATAGCACAAAGAAATATAAAGAAAGAAATTTTCCGTGTTGGCATTGAGTTATGGGTCTCTTGTTGACCCAGTAATAGAGCCTCGTTTTCATGTATGTGACATAGGCCCAACACTTCTATCAGGAAAACAAAGCCCTATAGCCAAGGTGATATACTTTCTCGAAGGGTGTGTTGGTTTACTTGACCTACCTTTCTTGCAGACAAAGTAACAAAAGCAACATTGACAAAACACAAATAGTAACCAGGATAAAAACCATGCCAGAATGCGGAAGTGACCGATGTTGCCAGAACACCACTCAGTCTGTCGTTCGCTCTGTTGTATATAATCCTACATAACATCAAAACATCACTAGTTGCGAAGCTTAGGGACGAAAATTCTAAGTTTTGAAGGCTTTATAAGAAGCGTTCGAGGAAACCCAGCCTTTACGCTAAGTGATTAAACAGTTACGCACCTTTTTAGCCATTTTTCCGTGCCAATATTCCAGTTTACAATGATAGTTCGAGCATTTGTTGCAAGCTGATGAAACGGGGGGAAAATTAAGTTGATCGTAAAATTGTTTCTAAACTTCCATCAGGATTAACTGCTCCTGATTAGGTGTGAAGGACCTTTTAAGGTCCAGACACACCGGACTCGACGCGATTTTTTAGTTTTTGAAAGTTAATAAAACGGCAAATGAGAGCAAATTTTGAATGATATGTAGACCAAATAACTCGAAATGTTATAACGCTTCTAAATATTTGGAAAATTTAAACTAGTATCAAAGTTATCGGTCAGTGAAAGTCGAAAAATCGCGTCGCGTTGTCGAATCGCGTCCGGTGTGTCTGGACCTTAGACGAGCCTTCATACAGTAAATGTATAAAATTCACACTGGGAATTCCCATCTACGAAACCCTTCTTTCTAAACTTCCACTAGCCAGAAAGACACGGAGTTAAACCTTTATTAACTGAAAAAAATACCTCGATGTTTTTAACTTTGGCGCTTGTGAATTTATCCCAGAGAGGTTCCCCCTTCTCATCATAACCATTAAAACCCATTCCAGCCGCATTCACAACACCATCGGCTATAGATTGAGAAAAAACGTCAGTAGAGGAAAGTATGTCACCATGGCTATAGAGCACTAATACCGGAGCCACAGAATACTACACAGAAGTCCATCTCCATTGTTTTTGCTATAAGCTCTATTCGTCATGATTCGTCACTCAGTAAGTACCGTAAACAGAAGCAGTCCCCCCCTGGAAATACTAAAAATGGCGCATGTCCAGGGGGGTGACTCGCTTACGCAAAAAACAATGGAGATGGACTTCTGTGTAGTATTCTGTGCCGGAGCTTGAGCAAGCGACAACGTGGACGTCAGGTTGCCGAGAGGGACTGGATTAAAAACTTTGTTTGTATTAGTTTGTGGGAATCTTCAACACATACGACAAAACATAAGATTTTTAAAGTTTTTTGCTTCCTTGCACGAGCGCTACGATGCAAAATGCCGCCAAAATTAGTCGTACCAAACACCAATTTTCGGGTGAGCGCGTCGCTGTTGACAAAAATGTGGCTTACATACGCCCGTATTCTAAAAGCTCACTCACACTCACTGAGTGGAGTTTTAATCTGAGCTTTGCTTGAGTGTCAATGCTGTTTTTGAATAGCTGGAGGGTGAGTAGTCACATAGTAAGGTACGACACTAACCCTCCAGCTATTCAAAAACAACATTGACACTCAAGAGAAGCTCAGATTGAACCTCCACTCATTGAGTGTGAGTGAGCTTTTAGAATACCGGCGTTAAGCTCGCTAATACATAGACTTTCCAAAGTCCTTTCCAGGCGTCGCTCGGGTCGCGCGCTCCCTCCCCCATGGTCGACTTGTGGCAAGTCTAGCTAATACACTATTATTCAAACTTCGGTGTCTTTGCTTTCATACAAGAAAACGAGGCCGTATAGCCAATGTGACCTACTTAGTCCGGAAGGCTGTATTCCACAATGACGTGATTATTATACCGGAGACAAATCATCCGTCAAGATGCTTCATCCGTCTGACGGAACATCCTCCCAAACTAGCTGGAATAACGTGATCTATTCTGACAACAAATCCTGATATTTCCCTGTTAGTTTGTTGAATGCTTAGTAGAAACACAAAACAAACTATTCACATGAACTACCTAGAATAGGGGGAAGAGGTTATTTCGCTGGCCTCAGAGTGACAAAACGTAACAAAGCAACGGTTGATCCAAACATTAGAGAGGTTTAGATACCCCGGTTTCGGTGTATGGGTACGAGTAGTGTCATCTTGTTTTACTGATGTCTGTAATTCGATCATACTTTTTCTGTTTTCTTGCAATAGACAATGATATAATGCGAAAAATGTGCACCTTAATTACGAGTAAAGGTACAGACATCGACGAAAATATTGCTAACCAAAATCATGCTACCCGTACACCGAAACCGGGGTATCTTAACCTCTCTACCAACTGTAACCCTAAGTCCTAACCTAACCCTACTCCAAGTTTGTTTCTAAACCAATTTTGAAGAAAAAAGTTTTGACGAAATGTCATTCTGAGGTCAGCGAACTAACCTTTCCCGGAATAGCGTGATCTATTCTGACACTGGTTCTGGGAACAAATCATGCGTGAGATTTTCCTGAAAGTTCATATATTGCCGCATTTATACACACAGGCAGATTTTCCGTGAAGAGCTAATAGGAAATGTAATTTTTTAAAAAGTTATTCAAAACATACTAACCAAAGACCCACGCATAGTAATAACGCATCTTGGTTGCAAGAATTACAAAATATCCAAATACGATTTTAGTAAATAACGATGTTTGAGACATAAATTGAGGGTCTACAAAAAAGGAAAAACAGTGACAATTTACTGTGAAATGCAAAACTTTGCATTGGTGAACTCCTAGAAATGTGCAGTTAATTTCATTTAAAGGGTTAAGTTGGAGGAATTTTTAACCAATTGAGTTCCAGCACTTTCCCCTTGGCCTTGATGAGTAAAATCATCTTGCGTTAGACAGAGTAAAATAACAACGTAAGGTGCACCAGCTACTAAGCTGTAATATGTGATTCAAAATAATAATAGAACTTTATTTGAAAATTATATCTATATAACTACATAAAAATACAATTTGTCCTGATAAAAATCTTCAAAATTTATATTGTCTAGAGTTTTGTGCGTCCATTGTTATTCTAAAAACTTAGGTATGTGTTCTATTCCTGCAGCTCAAGTCAAAGTCTTAATCTGTTGTCTTTACACGCCAACTCGATGTTCATGTCAACATCTCGACGAATGTGATTCAAAAGGTTAATAAAAATATGGTTTACCTTTATAAACTTAAGCTATATATAAAGTAAATTCCCTTATAATTACTGTATTTTTACCATGATATATTTTACAGAATCTAGTGCATCTATATTTAGTATCCATTTCTTACCTACACAAGTCTGAGCAGAAATGAGTGCATTGCCTAAGACAACACCTCCAAGGAATATATATGCTAACACAATTTTCCTTGTAATGGTCATCTGTAAATGAAAATGTAGCTCTCTTCTTCACAAAGTCAAACCCCCATATATGGATGACTCTCTTGAGCAGACACAGGGGCGGCACTAGACCTCTTTGAATGGGGGTGGGTATAAGTGAATTTTGCTGAGTTACCGTACTGCAACCACTAATACCTTATTTCCCAAAATTGTTGGTGGGGGGAGGGGGGTAAAGGCGGCACAACATCAACTTTTTCTGGAGAACATTTCTCAATCATATTTTGTGTTTAATTAACCATTGTTCTTCGTTCCATTTTTCCAAAAAATGTTCCATAAATTTCTCCACATTTTAGCCATCATTCTTAATTTTTAATCAGTGTCACTCGAATATACTTTTTCCCCTTCCTATCCAAATCCATGTTTTGCCAACTGGGATTCAATATTTTGCCGACTACCTGCTGACTAGGGGTGTTATACACTCCCAGGGGTGTTATACCCTCCCCCCCCCTTTAGCACTGTCCCTGAGCAGACACCCCTTTTGGACAGAAACCTCTGGTCCCAATTTTAATAAAACCCCTATTAATTAATTGAACAGCTGCAGATTGGGAGTGATAGAACTATCTGAAAAATACGAGCAGAAGTTCTGCATCTTTTTTGAAGTAGTTGTAGCTCTCTTGATCTACAGCTGTTTTGTTACCATTACTTCCCACACTGGCACAGACTGTTTGGGACAATTATTTGTACACCACCTCAACGCACATACATTTGCGAGGTTCCAAATCTGTCTGTTTTATAGAGATTCAATTGTATTGAATTCTTTGTATGTTTGCATAGTGATGGTGTAAAAAGTGTGGTGTTTTCCATGTCATAAACAATTTTATTTATTTTGTTTTTAGGTACGGTATAGTTGAACCTAACATGTTTATAATTCACTAATGATGATCAAATAGCACACTGTACTTGCTGTCAAGGAATAAAATGTAAGTATTTTTTATAATGTATACAATTAATTTCAAGACCAACTATAGAAAAAATTGCATGTCAATTAATAACTTATTTTCAAAAGAATTAAACTTACCACTGGGATTACATTAGTTCCTTTAAATTCCTGCAAGAATAATTAAAATGTTTACTTTTAAATTGTCATAACTCTGGACATCAAAACCACCATGGCAATAGTTTTAAATTGCGAACAAAAGTCATTGGTACCTTCATATTTGTACCATCAATAAATTCCATGAATTCAAAATAAGTACATGAATGTCCTGCCAACACCATAGTGAAGTGTAAAATATAACTGAAAAATTCTAAGAAACTTGGTTTTTTCCTGCAGATAAAGAAGAGAAGTGTCATTAGGATCAATGCAGCTTGGTAGCTGTTAGTAACAGTTGATGTTTTTTTAACAAGTAAGTGAATCAGATGTAAAAATTAATGTAAAAATACTTTATTCTGTGTTGTCTTTGTTCATTTGTGAGTTCTTTTGGATCTCTGCCAAGACCTTGATAGAAATAAAATAGTTTTATTAGGTGTCACCAACAATCACAACCACCATTATCATCACCATCATCACACTGTGACCACTACTACTTAACTATGACCATCATATCACCAACACTATCATCACCACCACCATACCATTTCCACCTTCATTACAGTGGCAATTATGGTAATGTTTAAAATAAGATTTGTTATTGTTTACCATCATGTAAAGCAAATCCAACATATGTCACTCGTTGAGTAATAAGCATTAATGGCCTACAAAAGCAAAATATATGTACAGTATTAACCTATTGAGTGGCAGCACTCTCCCCTTGATGAGTAAAACCGTCTGGTGTTAGACGGAGTTTATAAAGTAGGGCATGTCAGGGTACATTGCCACTACAAGGGTTAAACAAAGCTTTCAGCAAAAGGTCGGGGCTTACCCTGTAATGTCGAGTTTATAACCTCCATAATCTGTCACTTGTCGGTAGATATGATTGGCTGACAACCACGACATTGCCAATGTAAAAATATATCTTGAAGAAATATAGTTTGGTTTAATCCAACAGAGCTATACATTTACTACATTATGTCCAACAATGAATTATCTCAGTGTCATATTTTTATTAAATATCTTGATGGTTACCTGTGCACAACTCGAGGAGAGACTGTATGTATTATCAAGTAACACAACATTGGTAAAATTATTAATTGGATAATCTCGCTAAACAGAAGATAAGAATAGTTGTTACAAAATATGGTCATTAGGGCGCATTGTCACTTGAGTTACCCCAAGGATAATCATTAAGTAAACCCTTTAAGCTGCAGAGCTTCCCCATTGACAAGTAAAATCGTCTGGTGTTAGACAAACTTGTAAAAAAAAATAAGTAGGGCCCACTGGGGCACATTGCAGCTCAGTGGGTTAACCACCCTTTCCCTTGATGAGTAAATAGTTAATTGTCTGACACAATGGAGTGTAAAATTACAAGATAGGGTTCACACAAACCTTGCAAAACATAACCAGCCAATACAAATGCCCCAAACAAGACCGACTGTAAGTCTCGTAGTGCGGCCAACTTTCCGAGGTGACAAAAACAGGTTGTAAAATATGGCAAGAAACAATGTGACCAGCATACCAATAATGAAACTTAGCTAAAAATAAAACATTCTTGTAATAAAGATGCACTTGTGTTTAGGGCTACACGTATGACATCCAAGAGTCTCCCTGTGACTCAACTGGCATTAGAAAGAGTAGAACAATAAAGTCTGGCACATTTGGACACATTGCAACTTGATGGGTTGTTGCAAGACACATGGGCAGATTGTTGGGTTAACCCCTATTAGAGTGCAAGACTCTCCCCCTTGGCGAGTAAAATCGTCTGGCATTAGACAGAGTAAAATAATAAAGTAGGATGCATTTAGGCACATTGCATGTCAATGGTTAAAAAATAGCAAAGTAATTAAAATAGCAAAGTTGGGCATGTTAGGATACGCATCTTAATATGTGAACAAGAGGCTGACAGCAACATTAACACTTTCTTGAGGAGTAAAGTCATCTGACATTATATACAATATACTGAGTTTAATAGTTAAAACCACACGAGCCTCTTTGGCGCAGGTTAAAAAAGTAAAGCGCGTTAAATTGGCTTGGGCGTTTAATATAATCCTCCCTGCCGAGTGTGTCACTGACAGGCATTAAAAAGCCAATACGCAATAAAAATACGAATTTTAGATGTAAACACTGTAAATGTAGCAATCTTTCGCAGTTAATTTCTAAGCCTTAACGTTCATATAAAACACTTGACAATATTTTTGTTTCAATGGATTGATGAAGTATTATTAGCATTTGTAAACAAAGTATGCGAACGAGATATTTTGTTCTAATTTAGAAAGAACGTATTGAAACATTCGAATACCTGGTCGACTGGAAATCCAGTAGATTGTGCAAGATCATCAAGTAAGCTGTTCTTTAAAACCATTTTTGCGATTCAATATAAGAAACTCAGTTTTAATATGTAAACAATAATAAAGGCAAATAGTACGTTTATCATTTCAGTCATTGAGCATTTGCATTTTGGTGTGTATGTCCCGCGTGTACCTACATGTGAATCCAATAATCCATCCCGCGTGTATGTCCTGCGTGTGTGTCGCGCGTGAGCTGGTGCAATTTTCCAAAATGGCAGCCAAATTTATTGATTATTTTCCCAAAATCATGCTATTTGGTGACTCTTTAACACAGGTATATATTGATAAACATGTTTAACTTTGAGGAAATACTGCACTTCAGTATATTTTTAATAATTCGAACCTGCAATAGCTTTGTACTGTAAAAAAATTCTACTAACTTTTGGCTGAGGAGTGACAGAATTTTGGTATCAATTTAATTTTTGTCATTTAATTTTACTACTCTTCAGTTTTCGTTTTCACCAGATGGTTTTGGTGCTGCGATAGTTGATCATTTTCAGAGGTTTGTAAAATTATAAATAGTGGTCAGAATGTTCTAAAATATCAAGATTTTTGTGGCATGAAGTCGATTTTGTCGAATGAAGAATATTTGAATATTTGATGTCGATAGAAATTGTCGAGTGGAAATTTGTATACATTTAATAGACCTAACTAGGAACAGAAGCGAAAAATGCAGCTGTAGGTCCCTGTCAGCTACAATACCCATCAAACAGAATGTTCTAATGCACATATCAACGGCCTGCCGTGGGGGTACACCCCCGGGACTTTGAAAAAACATGATTCTAATGCATTAATTCCCCCTCCCTCCCCCGGGAAATGTGTAAGTCAAACTGCCCTCCCCCTGGGGCTTAGAATAAAGTAGTTCATAATATAAATGGCATACAAACAATTAAAAATTCAGGGTGTTAGCTAGCCCATATACTGTCCGTCCATTTGACGGACTCTTCCCAATTGAAGTAGTTAAGGGGCTTTTCCATTAACTATTTTCTCAAA